GAGAGACTCCATGGGACTGACTATATCCTCATCTGTTTGGGGGCCCACCAGGTGACCTTACTAAATTATTAATCCCCAAAACTGGGCTGGATTATCCAACCTACAGTTTTAAATTCCAGAATGGCTTCCTCTTCCCTACTCTACAGACACCTAACCTTTTATTACTTACATTAGGCTTGTGTCCAGGGAATAAAAACATCCAAAACATGACCAACTTTTATTTTAAAGTGCTTTCACTCTATCACCTCATGTGATTCTCCGAACTTTGTGAGGTTGGCTGTCATCCCCATTCCCTGTGCAGATAAGTGAGTGACATTGGAAAAATTGCCCCAGCTCACAAAGCCAGGAAATGATACAGCAGGAATGCATATCCCCAATTTTTGTCCCTAAAGTGGGCAAGACCTCACTAAAATTCACCATTTTAGAAGTCAAAATTTCATTAATGGGAAATCTTGCTTTTATAAGATTTAGAAGACTAAAGAGGAATGGTTTTTGCAGTATTTCCTCTTCAGGATTAACCTTGTCAGAGATCCATCCACCCACTGGGTAGTGAGAACTGTTAACATCTGAGATCTTCCCTAAAGTTTTATTTCTAGACAGAGTAGAGTAGTAATGCTTAGTGAGCACTTATTTGCCAGGCACTGTTCTAAACCCTTTACATATAACATCCCTTTAAATCCTCATGAGTGCACTGTGAAGAAGACATTAATATCTTCATTTTTTACTACAGTATGGAGAGGCCAAGTAACCTGCCCAAGGTCATAAGACAAGGTGCACGGAGTGGGGACAAGAAGCAGGCAGTCTGTGCTTTCCACCACTTGGCTACAGACACCACTGAAGGAACTTCATAAACTGGGCTCATCTAAGCCAAGGGCACAGAAGTGGTGTTGGAGAGAGCCCCAGACACAAGGAATCCATTAACTCTGGGCACTTCCGTTTACTCCTCTGATTCCTCAGGTGTAAGATGGGAATAAAGACAATGCTTAGATCTGCTAAAACTGAAGAAAATAAAGCAAACCCGACATAATGTACGTGGAAGGCAATTTCGCTCCCCACAGGCAGGCCCGCCCAGTCCCTAGTGACTCTGTTCCCCCCTTTTCTTCCTCAGTGGGGCCACTACCCTCAACATGCTTTCAGCTTTATGTCTCAGTTCCTAGAATTAATTCTAATGTTAGATCCAAAAGATTTCAAGAGCTTTATCCAAACCTCCCAGGCTTTACATCAAGCCATCCCTGCTACCGAGAGGGCTTCGTCTAAGTCATAACTGGAGCTTCTGCCTTGGACTTCTGCCTGTGCCTGGTCCCTGTCTTGACAGCCAGCTCGGTACACCCCAAGTTCTGCCCGGATCACGACAGCTCCCACTGCTCCAGGGACCAGAACCTTGGCATCGGTAGATACACTGGCAACACCACCTATTTGAATTTCCTGGCACCACCTCCTCCTAGATTCTCTCTCATTTCTCTCTAGCTCACCCACATCTCCCACCCTC